ATTACAACTTGGAAACCTAGAGAATTATGTAAAAAGGATTGTGGCAACATCAGGAATAATAAACATATTGAAACTGCAGAACGGCTTCCATCGGGAACCAAGGAAAATTGGGGAGACAATCCAACAATACATAAGCAGGAAGACCTATACAAAATACCTAGCGAATTAATTTGTGAAATCTTAGTGAGTTTGACGGATTAAAGAAACAAGACACCAGTCCCAAAAATAGGGGATTCGAGTCCCAAATGCGTGGGATTGGGGATTCGAGTCCCAAATTCGTGGGATTCGGGGATTCGGGTCCCAAGTTTAGGGGATTGGAGTCCCAACTTTCGGGGATTCGGGTCCCAAGTTTAGGGGATTGGAGTCCCAACTTTCGGGGATTCGGGTCCCAAGTTTGTGGGATTGGTCCCATCACGCCTACGCCTCAACTCATCATCAATTAAATTATTCTCCCAAACTTAAATTATCACCATACTATGATTATAACATTTATACCCTTATATGTTATAATTATAATGTAAAATGACTTAAAGGAATAAATACTTAATATAATAAGAGGAAAATGCCAATGCTAGGAGTGACAGAAAAAGAGCTGGAACAGGATAGAAAGATAATATTGAGTTTCATTAAGGATAATCCCTATCCATCGTATAAACAAGTCATTGAAATAATTAAAAACGATAAAACAATGAAAGATATATATCCAGATATGTTCGCTGAGTATGGAGAACAAAATCATCAATGGATAAAAGAGATTTACGAAAACATAATGAAAGAAGAACTCGTTAAACGTAATGGTAATAGTATTAATGAAAGAGGAGGAATGACAACAATGCATTGTAATTATTATACTTTGGTATCAGTGTTGCGTTATTTAATACAACAAAGAGCACCAATGAAAGATTATGACGTTAACTTAATCTGGTATAATATCAGAAACATCTTAAGCAGTTCTTGGAACAACATAGGCGACTGGAAACACTAAAAACAGGTTTAATCATACTATGATTATCACATGTAAAATATTATATGTTATAATTGTAATATATTTATCGTTTGTAAAGATTGAATTATTATATTTTCCTAATTTGCTTATCTCTTTCAAAGTGCGTTGTTTAGACTTGGTATGCTCTTTTGATTTTTTCGTGCTTTGGCTGTTTGTTTTTGTTTTGTTTGATACTCTTATGATATTTTTTGTTGGTATGTTGCTTTGTTTTTTGTTGATGTGTGTTTTTGAGTTTGGGTTCTTTGATGATTTAGAGTGTTGCTGTTTTGTTGGTATGCTTGTTTGAATTATTTAATGTTGCATGCTGTGATTAAATATTTTTGTTGCTGGTTGTGATTATTTATTTTGTTTGCTTGTTGTTCTGGATTTTGTTTTCTGTTTGTTGTGTTGCTGTTGGAAAAAAAATAGTAGAAAGAATAATTCTTTGAATTCTCCTTTTACTATTTTTCCCCCACGGCCAGTGGCACCCGTAGGGGGGGCCGGTGCCACCAGATCGGGCATCTCCTCCAGCAGCGCCTCCTGGTGCCATGGGTTCTGCGACTCTCTGAGCCTCCTGATGTAGGGGACATACTTCTCCTTGATGTTTTTTTTCATCTGGGGGATGTTGTCGGGGTCATCCAGCTCCAGGGGGCAGAATAGCCCCCTCTCCAGGGCCTGCCTGAGATCATCCGGCCACGCCAACACTTCCAAGGGCTTGAGAGTGTGGTTGAGCATCCTTGCCGTTGGTGTCCTGGGTTCGCCGCCTGAGCCTCCTGAATGGAGCCCATCGCTTCAGCCAGTGCCTGGCTGGCGTCCACGCCCTTCCCCTCCAGGTACTGGTCTCGCAGCTTGGCCTTGAATCGCTCCAGGTTGACCTTCCTGAGGGCACGGGCTCGTTGTCCAGCATCTCCTCCGTGACCAACTCCTTGTGCCGCCGCCTGGCCGAGGACTCCTCCGGGGTCGGTTCCCGATGCTCCCTCAAGGCCTTATGCAGCTCCTCCTTCTTCCGGATCGCCTGGTCCACCTGGGGGTGGTAGAGCTGGAAGCTCTGAGCCTCCGCCTCCTTCAGGGACCGCTGCACTTTGACCTTGATCTCCTGGCATTCCCGGACCTTCAACGCCTCGTCGTCCGCCTCCATGGACAGGATCTCCTGCCGGATGTCCACCCGCCTGTTGAGCGGGACCACGTCTGCCATGGTGATCTCCTCTGCCGTGTCCGTTTTCGGAGGAGCTCTCCCCAGGACCGTGCCGTCCACCAGGTTGCGGTCTGCCTGTGCCCGGGTACCACCGGGGCCAGCGGCACCCAGGCTTCCCCCTTCCCGCTGTTGGATCCAGGTCGGCTTGATGAGCAGGTTGTAGGTGATGCCGTCCGCCTCATAGGTGGCCGAGGGTGCCTGGAAGGGGACGAACTCCTTGCCTGGGCAGACCCAGCACTGCTTGGCTGCCTCTGGCCACCCCGTGCCGCATGCCTTGCACATGAACTTGTAATCGGAATGGCCTGCATCGAGCCTGTGCATTGCTGGGTGCCAATGCACGCCTTGTTCCGCTGGAACTGCGAGGCCCAGACCTCCTCCTGCCGGATCTGGATCTTCATCGGGACATAGGCCTCCAGGATACGAATCACCAGGTCCTCCGTGAGATTCTTCCCGACAAACTTGTGGAACAGGGAGACCGCCTCCTCCACCGTGACGTCCCTCAGCAAAGTGGCCGCCGATGCCGGAAGGACCGGGAAGAGGTCTGGGAGGTCCACCAGCTTGAAGTAACCGGGTCGGCCCTCAACCGGCACCAAGGAGACCGGTTTGTTCACATGAGCCGTGGTCTTCTGGGAAGCCGCCACGAAACCCCTCAGCCTCTTCGTGGGTGGTGTCTGTGCCTCCTCCGGTGGAGTGGCCCGCTCCGTGACGTCCGCATCTTCCATGTCCTTGTCCTCCTCCTCGGCGGGGCCAGGGGCACCCAAGCCGGAAGTCGGTGTGGCAAACGCCACACGGAGACGCTCCAGTGCACTGGAGAGGTCCTTCATCACGTCGGTAGCCGAAGCCGACGGGGGGGCCTCGGGCTCGTCCAAAACCAGGCCGGCCGCCACTGCCGCCTCGCGTGTGCGAATTTCCTGGGCCTCCTGGCTGGCCATTTCAACCTCCTCCACGGTGAGCGTCTGGTCCTCAATCAGCTCAAAGGAGGTGGCCGAGGTTGCCGAGGAAGCCATTGCTTGATCGGGGTTAGTTCGAAAGTGTCCAAACTCAATTTTTTTCACACAAATTGGGTTCTAGGAACCCAGGGCAAAGCTTGAGCCAAAATGGCACATGCCATTATGGTCAAGCATTTCAAACACAGTTCATGTTTCCACATGCGTTTCAACATTAACAAAATATGGGTGTGGCTCAAAAAGCCGGTAAATGGAACCCTGGTAAGTGAAAACATGGACCAAGACCTGCGTAACCCTGGCTCTTTAATTTTGAGCCACTGCCATATCGTATCAATATCCATCTGAAGCCCAAGAAGAACCGGGCTCCCGGCCCCAGAAGCGAGGGTCGACTGCGGCCCTCTGCCCGGCCCTCTGCCGCCTTGCAAGACTCGGCGGGGTGAAAGCTCCCCATTCCTGGGGCTATGGGGAGCAGAACCTGGCCCCTATGACCCCTTCACAAGACCTGAGGGGCCTATACATTGAGAATGTCAGCACAAGAATGTCAGCACAGGGGGTGACTCCAAATCGGCTTTGATGAAAAGATGTAGCTAGAATCTGTAAGTCTACGGAAAGTTACATGATGAGTAGCCAGGTTATCCAGTAGAGAGGCTAGAATAAGGGTACCCTTTTTTTCTGTAGTCTATTGTAGTAGGGGAACCCTCCCCCAAAAAGAAAAAAAAAGAGCACTACCGGGGACCTAGGTAGTTAGATTCCAAGACTTCACACAGATTGAAATGTACACCAAAGTGCACTCCCACAGCGGCCTGTACCAAAAAAATAGGCGGGGCGGGGGGGCTACCAAAGGAAGGGGTAAACGAGGCCTTGTCATTGACACATTCGAGGCATTGCCAAAGATGAGAACAAGGGAGTCAGGGGAACAAGGGCATAAGTTCGCGAGGACATGGCAAAATTCCCCCCCGCTTTGTGTGGGAAATCCAGCTCCTCATCAAACTAAACATAGACTGTCAAGGGTTGTGTCCGTTGTTGATATGCGCCCTTTGAACAGCACCCCACCGAAACTGAACAAAACTCCGCCTAGACGCAATGATTAAGACAGAAACCAAAAAACAAAAAAATCACCGGACCCCGGAAGTGAGGTTTTACATTGTCCTGAAGATGTCCCTTTGGTCTGGTGGAAAACGCTTTACCCTGAAGTGCAAGCCACCCTGAAAGCAATGGTCGGGTTCATATGATCGCTGGTTACCTCAAGATGTGTCATCTAGGATTGGGTCAACCATTCTTTTCATGGGGGTTGAACCCTAGACTTCATGCTCATGGCCAAATTGCATCATTTCAAAGGGCCCTGAAGTGAGAAACTAGTGCTGCGCAGCCGAGCGGGGATCGGGATTCCCGCGGGATCCGGTTTCCGCATCGAGCCTCAGGCAATCTAAGGAGCCCAGAAGTTACACGCAATGCGAGTGTCTAGTCCTTTCACGGTTTCCCCCGGTTTGCTTCTTTTTTCTCCTTTTTTCTGTTCTCTTTTTCGGGTGGTTTTAAAGGGGACGCCAAAAGGAACACCGGACTGCATGCCATTTGGTGGGGTCCTACCTTCATAAAGAACGAGCCATCCTTGGTCAAGGACCCCAACTCGAAACCGAGTCCCGAAACCGTAAGACCCCACAGCGTGGGATTGGCGAAGGCCCAAGCTGCGGGGTCCACAGAAAAGCCCGATCGCTTGGTCCAGTTGGACAAAAGGTAAGCGCTGATTCCCAGGAATCCAAAATACTTCATCTTTGGAAGCCGTTGTTTTGTGGGCCTTACTCCTCCCTTTTCTTCGTTCCAGCGACGCATAAGCACGGCACTTGAGGGAGGCTCGCCGCCACTTTCTCTGCGCCTGAGACTCGATGGCAGCGGAGATGAGGACCACCGACTTCAAGGAGGAGGTAATCTCCTCGCAAATGGCTCGGGTTTGGAGCAAACAGCACGGTGCCTCGTCTTTCTCGCAGAAATTGGACCCTCCAAAAAACGCACACCCATCATTTTCCGTCGCCAAGTCGCGACGAAGGGCCGTTTCGGAGCGTTGGTCACAGACTTCCTGTCATTGGAAAGTGCCATGGTCAAGCCTCATCTGAGGATCCAAAATCCCGGGTTGACGACCATACCTAGTGAAAGTAAACAGGTCTTTTGACCCTCGCACATATCTTGGCACAGAGCAGGTTTCGCGGCCGCGGAACAGGTGCGTGTTATAGGCATGTAATTATTTACGCGTGTACCCATGGAAGCATATACACATTATTAGATGCCAACGTGCACACTATTGCGCATGTACACAGTTACCACGGACATATACATGCAGACACATACATATCCACGAATGCACAGTACTCAAATACACAAATACAGAAGTGCTAAACATATACTACACATGTTGTACGCATATACTACACATATACCACGTGTTTTTGACGTATACCACCCGTATGTCACACCTACGAACTGCAGAGCCACATCCATCGATATTCACCTTTACACATGGACACGTGCACATATGCACATGTACCCGTGCTAAATCTAAAAACAGCTACACGTATGCACATTCACACATATGCATGTTTACCCTTGAAAGTTGGCAAGGGGCCTGATAAGAGGGTGCTACAGTTGTCTTCCAAAACCCTGCTGTGCACTTCTATGATAGCAAGCGAGCACACACATACACACACATACACATCAGCCCCGGACACAATGACTTATTCCCAAGAGGACATGGGAAATTCGAGTGGGCCCCCAGGTCTCGTACATAACCTACACATCCCCGGCTATGGCCCCCCCACTGTTGTCGGAAATTTGGATGGCCCACCCATGTCCCCACACTCAAACCTAACAACAGATGGCAGCTTCTCATAATAGACGTGTGCCATGAAAATTTCGGGCGTTCCCTTATGGATGGCTCGAGGGAAGCAAAAGCAAACCAACCAACCACACACGTCTGCGGTCGTCTCAAAGACACACAATGGGCACCAAATTGTTTGGAGTTGCTTGTGATTGCCCTCGCCATCCAAACTAAAGGTCCTACCTGTCCACTTCCCTCTGTTTCCCTTTCAAGCCCATCCAAAAAAAGGGATCCATCAATCACTGAAAGGGTTCCTCACCCTCCAAAAAAATCCAAAAAAAGGGATCCATCAATCTCTGAAAGCGTCCCTCACCCTCCAAACAATCCAAAAAAAGCTGATCCATCAATCTCTGAAAGGGTCCCTCACCCTCCAAAAAATCCCCCCAAAAAGAAAACGGGATCCAAAAAATATATATAAAAAACATGTCCCCCCCCCCCCAAAAAAAAAAAGGGGATCCAAGCACAAGCGCCAGACTGCGACTTCTCCTTGGACATCTTCTCCAGGGCAATGGAGGTGGTGTCCGACACTTCCGATCCCCCGGGCGAGCGCACCTGGGAAGGGCAGCTTCTCACATGGCACCCAGGCTCAAAAAACACGGGAACTCCAAAATGGGTTGCCCGATCGGTAGGTGGAAACATGGAAACCAAAAACCTGCGGTTTGACCCTCCGGTTTAATTTTGAGCCACACCCACATGGCACCCAGGCCTCCAATGGAGAAAAAAACAAGCCTTGGCGCCCCTTGAGTTGATGTTCAAAGGGGTTTTCGCTGCCCGGGGCCCCGGACCCAAATTTGTATGACAAGTGGGCTCCCCAAAGTCTCAGGTCCTCTTTGGATGCTGGAACACCCATAAAACCTGATCATAAATGAAGTGATCATAAACACTGATGTCTACTTCTTGAGCCCCTCATACTGTCGATGGGCGAGATCCTACACCACCTGAGAAACCCTGGTTTCTGATGATTCCCCTGTAAATACAACAAACAACTAGGTCCTCCAGATTGGAGAGGTTAGAATAACGGTTCCAACTTTTTCTGTAGTCCCTCCCAACCAAAAAAGGGTAAAAGGGCGCTACTGGGGGACCTAGACACTTTTTGGTTCTCTTGAAAAGCACGTTGAAAAGGGAACCTCAGATAGCACACATCCGGTGGAGACACATGCTGCAAGCTTCACTTCCGGCCCGCGCGGCGTTTTGCACTTGAAGTCTCACAGGATGAACCCCATCGTGTCCAAAGGCATTTCTCCCCCCGGAAGGTATCCCCTAAGTCCACCTACCCCTTCCGGGTCTGCCTGTTTTGGTGGTACCCTTTCTGGGGGTTGGCTTTCAGGAGAACCCGAAAGAACCCAGCTGTGGGGGGTCCACACAGAAATATATCCCAGAAACGGAGCTTCATCTGGCGTTTGCCGTTTGCCCCCGCAAAATTGGTCTACTTTGAGAGTGAAATTCGGCGCTGGCCTCGGGAACGTGCCGGAACTCCTTACCTCTAGGCGGTTTGTTCCCTTCCAAACGAACCAAGCATGCATCTTGCTCGTCTTCCGGACTGCCAGCTTGCTCGCATACTTGCCTTGTGTTTTTGGGCACACACTGCATCCAAGATGGCTTTCACCCCCCAAACCAGCCCCAAGAAAACCGGGTATGCCCTTTACATAGTGGCTATATCCTAGTTGTAAGTCTACCCCATTTGGGAGGTCCTGTGAGCATCACCCAAAGGGAAATCCAATAAAAATGGGCATTAGCCGGCGATGGGTTCGAGACCAGCGGGACATTCAAAAGGACCTGTTTTTGGGAGTGGCATACCCAGAGGAAACCACCTTTAGGTCCCTAACATGCTCCCAAGTAGTCTGAACAGGACTGCCAAGTAGTCCCTACTCGGCCTCGGGAAAGAGCTCGTCCACCGAGGCGAGTCCTGCAGGAGCTGATCTGAATTCACCGGAATCGGCTGGACATATTGGTAGACGGCATCCATCCAGCATCCACGCTCAATGTCTAGATCCTCCAGATTTCAGAGGTTAGAATAAGTTGGTACCATTTTTTTCTGGTTTGTCTATTTTAGTAGGGGAACCCTCCCAACCAAAAAAGGGGTGAGAAAGGGCACCTAGCTGGGGGACCTAGATGTTAAAAAATTTCCAAACCCCCCCAGCAGTTTGATCCAGTACATGGATCCAATGAAATGCTGACGACTAAAACAGGACCCCAACGAAGGAGACCTCCCCGTCTTGCGTTTTGGGGGTACCCCAAAGGCGGCTGGGTTCTGGGGAAGGCAAAGGCAAACCGAGACCCGCGGGTTCTTATTCTGGAAACCTCTTTCGCTTCGCCCGCTGGAAACTTGGAAGCCCTAAAGTACCCTCGCGGCTCAGGGGCAAAACCAAAAAAATACGAGAGTGAGCCCGATCAACCTGGCGCCCCTTGGGCAACGCCCGTCCTCCACCACTCCTCGGACGCGGATTTTACTTCGGACTTTCCAGCTGTGACGAGTCCAAACGGAATTCAATTGATCTGTTTGAAACGCAAAAAAACTCCCGGGGTTGGTGCCCCCCTTCATCGTTCTTTTCAAAAACCGATCGCCGTTTCCCTTGGCTGTTTGATGGTTTCCTGAAAAGAAGGATCCCTGGAAAGAATTGGGAAGGTACCCAACTATGTTCATGCTGCGGTTTCTGGACCTCTTTGACACTGGATGCCCAACATAGACAGCCAAAGACAGTTGGTGATCTTGTACCTTCCACTTTGAAGATAGTTTCAGGACACGAGGGCTTCGAAAATGGGGGATTTGGACTCTCTTGGGATGCTGGAGTTGCATCCTTGCGGCCCCCCGCAAACCGCTTGGCGCCTCGAAAAGGGTTCCTAAAATCAAACACTGATGATGAAACCACGAGTAGAAACAAACAAAATCGCGTGGCTTCCTGTGGTGGTCCTCCAGAGCTTCTACCAACTTGCTCCGGCCGAAAGGGAATTGGGCCCAACAAGGTCCGATGTGTCAGGCAACAAAGGAGACTGAAACTTGAATCTCGAGGACACATAGGTCCGTCATTTTTTGAGGATACCCCTTTTTTGGTCTGTTTTAAAGGGAAAGCAAAAGGACACCCACCATTTTGTGGGTCCCACACCCAAGTCTGCATTGTCAACACGCTGCTCTTTGCCCAAGGGCTCAACGTGTTTGTGTCGTTTTGTAGGGGGGCCCCCAAAAGGGCTGTGCTGTTGGTTTCCCTTCAAAGCCACAAACATGAGTACCCTCAAAAAAAGACACACCCAAATCTATCCCAACAGAACGGCTGGCTTTAATGCGTCATAGCAGACACGCATATCGATGCTAGACAAGAACCTCGGCCCAATGGAGACTGCGTGGCCTGCAAGCTGTTCTCACCCCAAAGGACCCATGAAAACAAACAGCCAACCCTGGATGAGTGGCAACCACAGGCCGGTTGCCCTCCAAAGCAGCCGGGCACCAAACACACACGCACACTCACACACATCTTGTGAGTAGGGGCTCCTGGAATGCAGAATGGTTGTCATGGTGGGTGAATCAACCTCCCTCCAATGGGTAGTTGGATTGGTGGTTTGGCGGTTCAGGGCGAGGTTCCCATCGACCCACAAGAACCAAGGCTTCAAGTCCAAACCTATCCAAACCGCCAAGCAAAGGGCAACCTGAATCAACAAGTTGGGTCAAAAAAACGAAACACTGAAAGCGAAACACGGGTATGTTCTCTGGCCTCATTATTTCACCATGATCAAAGTCACCCCCTAAGTGGTGGGTTTAAGGGAAACCACCGAATCCATTTCCGGGCTTTGATAACCCCCAGAAACCGTCAAACTATCAAATGACTTGGGCCACCCCCCCTAAGTGGTGGGCCGGTTTAAGGGAAACCACCGAATCCATTTTCAGAAGAAAAAAAAGTAAGGGAAACCACCGAATCCATTTTCTGACCTTTAAAAAAAAAAGGAGAACAAAACAAATAATAATAATAAACAGACACCGAGCCAAAATCATGACCCCCCAGCTGGGGCTCCCAGGCTTCGAGGCGGGCGAGGGCGTGCTCCTGCGGAGCCCTTCTGGACGGCCAAGGGGCCAAGCCGAAGGACACACCAAGAGTCCAACAAAACCGGAGAAAAGTAGGGGGAAAACACCAGAAACACGGGCGTTTTTTGGGGAAAAGGAGAAAAAGAAGAAGAAGAAAAAAAACGGAAACAAAAATAAACACATTGTTTTTTTTTTTTGGGGGGGGGGGAAGGAGACACACCCATGCTCATCTGATCAGGGAACCCTTAGTTCGTGGTTTGGATTGGATTTGGATTTGAACCCCGGGTTCTTGCAAAGGGTGAATGAGAAAACACTCCTAACCACCCAACCACCCAACCACCAATCACCACCAATTCAAGGGGGCGGTAATCAGGAAACTAAAGTATGCGAACCTGGGCTAGTACTCAGTTTCTAGTAAGTTGCCAACTACAATGCTAAAAACTGGCTGGGAACCGCAAAGAAAAGAGGTTTCAAAAACTGTCAACTTCTTCACGGGCGGAAGACCACTTAGTCTCAGCATCGCGAGCCGGAATCTAAGCCCACATCGCACAGCAATGGCAAGATCCCATACAACAGTGACCAATCCAAGCACTTGCGCAGCACTTCGATCAGCAAGACCTGCAACAGCTAGCGACAACGCGTTCCCTCCGCCCACACCCAAAGCATCAAAAGAATCCCGCCCACCCCCCTAGCAAACAACCCCTCCAAACCCGACCCCTCCAACCCCAAACCCTCCCCCAACCCCACCAACCTTCCCTTCCCCTTCCCTTCATTTCAAGCAAACAAACCCACCAACCCCCCCCCAAAAAAAAAAAGACGCTCCTCGGGGTCAAGGGCACGCTCATGCTCTCCCCCGGCTTGGTGCGCAAGGGCGTCTCGCTGAGCGAGGTCAGGGAGGAGCCAGGCCTCGGTGGCTCGCCGAGTCGACGGCTCAAAGCGCCAAACGAGCGGAAAGTGATGGCTCCGCTCGGATTCGGATCAAGTACACGTTTTTTGGCAAATGACCCGAAGGTCAAACCTTTAAACGGGATGATTCCTCCATCTTGTGGCTTTCTTTTTTGGGGGGGGGACCCCCTTCAAGGCACTCACAGTTGCGACAGATCCAACTGAATTGTCCCAAAAGCGACCCTGCAGAACAAGGATCAGAGAGCTTGCAAAAATGCGAGAGATAAGCAAGGAATCTCCTTGGTAGCAAGCAACCTGGGAGAATCTGGCTGGAAAATCTCAAGACTCTGTTCGAGTCATTCAGAAACAGAAGGCATGCCGGAAAAGAATAGCATCACAACTCAAGGAGCAGTTGAAAACCTTTGAACTGCGACCAACCACGAAGACTTAAGACCTCAAGTGTCTGGAAAAGCAAACAGCCCTCAGAATCAGCATCTCGGATCGGATGCGGAAAGATTCGGGCGAGGGTGATGCGTAGATTCGCTAAAAAACCGCGCAGTCTTCCGCTCGCTGCCCTTGGGTCCCATGTCAACGCGTGCTAGCGCAACGCAGCTGGAAAGATTGAACTGACGAGATTGTGATCAGCAGACTCACAAAGGGTAGCCCAGGATTTCATTCATCCTGGTCACAGGCATCAACCTAAGCCCTGCTTTCTCAATCGGAAGGGCCAGTGGCTTCATTGGGCTATGAATCAACTGAGGCTCGGCCAAACTTTCTTGTAATCTATGGTCGACGAATTTAAGAGCTCCTAAGAAATGTGCACAGTGGGCATGGGAAAATCAGAGCTGGCCCCTCGCGTTTTGTGCGAAAGGTAGAGCTCGGTTCAAGTCCCTCCCAAAACGAAGAGCAATTGTCGTAGATTTTGTCAGCCACTTCGAGGCTTGGAATGGTGGTTTGGTGGTTTGGGGTGGGTCCACCCATCCAAACCACGCAAAACGGGCAACCTGACTCACCGCCAGTTGGGTTCACGGGAAAAAAACAAGAAACTAGACCGAGCCCTGGGCCGGTGGCCCGGTTTGGTACCCGAAAAACCGGGTACCGCAACTTGGGGCTTTGAGGTTTCCCTCGCGTGTGGTTTCCCTTCGAACGCTGGGGCTGCACGCTCCACGCGGCGGCGTTCGCGCGGACTTTCAGCGCTCTCTGCATCCGGCACCCAGGCCCTGGCCAAGTCGGCGAATGATTCGCCCGCCAAATGAGCGACCCGTCGAAGAGCTCCGAACGAAGTCCCCTTTGATCTAGGGGTACCTTCCCCATTGAGGCATCCCTTGCGCTTTTTTGATTCCCTGGCTTTCAGGTGTTTTCTAGGGGCACCTTCCAATTCCATTCTTTCCAGGGATCCTTCTGTGTAAAAAAACACTTTTAAATCCCTGGGAAACAGCTGGTTTTTGAGAAGAACAATGGCTGAAAAGAATGGGGAATTGATAGCTGTTGCGGGGTCTTTTCAGGAACGGCCTAAGAGTTGTGGTGCAAAAGGAATCGACTACACTTGTAGGGGTTCCGTTGCGCTTTTCACATCTAAACATGCCTGTTGGATGAAGGTGACTTTATCCAAGTTCTCGCCAAAACAACACGGAATCTGAAAGGGATCATCGACAATGTCAAAATAACAGAGACCCGCTTCCAAGTTCCATGTTTGTTCTGGCTAGGGCAACTTTCAAGGAATCACCTTTCGTGAATCCTTTATGCGCTTCCCAAGATACGTCGCTCCAACACATGTCGGATTCCTTCACGTTGCTTCTTCGAACCACTCCAACAAAGCAAGGGGAACAAATGCCTAGATGCTGGTGATGCTGTTGATGCTGATGCTGCTACTGTAGCTCCTGATGCTCGTGGTGCTACTGATGCTAGTAATGCTACTAATGCTGGTGGTGCTGCTGATGCCGGCATTGCTACTGATGCTGGGAATGCTACTGATGCTGGTGGTGCTACTGATGCTGGTAATGTGACTGATGCTGGTGGTGGTGATGCACGTGATGCTGCTGATGCTGCTGATGCTGCTAATGCTGCTGATGCCGCTGATGCTGCTGATGCTGCTGATGCTGCTGATGCTGCTGACGGTGTCAATGCTATGCTGATGATGCTGGTGATGCTAGCTGGCTGCATCACAGGCCAAGCTGTAGCACAGCTTCAAAACCACAGGTGATGTTTCAAGTTGCTCCAAAGCCGGTATACAAGAACGTCTATGCCAAAAATGAAACAGGTCCTCCAGTAGAGAGGTTAGAATAAGGGTACCCTTTTTTCTGTAGTCTATTTTGGTAGGGGAACCCTCCCCCAAAAAGGGAAGAGAAGGGCACCTAGCTGGGTGACCTAGATGAAGGGAGCCAAAGGATCCAAGCCAAAGAGGAAAACCAGTTCACACCCGCCAGCTGTGCGAGTTGGAGCTGTAGACGGACACCCCAGGCTGGGTGGAGGCTGTCACCTGAGGAAAAAGCGGGCTGGGCCGTTCCTTTTGGTCCCTTTCAAAGCTGCAAAAGGTCGGGGCGCCATAAACCCAAAGTGCCCACTATAGTTGACAAACAAGCAAGCAAACAAGCAAACAAGCAAACATACATACAAACCAGCCCAAACCAAAGCGTAAGGGACTGATGCTCGGATCCGCTGCCGGCTCATGTTGGGTCCATACGGTGACAAGCAAAGCCATGTCTGAAAGTGAGCAATCTTGAATCTCCCAAACTGCCAATGCATTTTTTTCGTTCCGCACTTTGCCTGCAACGCTTTCTTTCATTCTCTCTTGGAGCAAAAGATGGCTCGGCACATGGCATGTATTTCACAATGCCAGGCCGATGGAGTGAGGGACTTTCTGCGTTCAGCCCCTTGCACTCCGGTCACGTTGAAAACCGGTTAAGACTCGCGGGCCTTGGATCCAGAAGATCCACCGCGACCAAACGGACCAGGGGAAAATCGCGACGATGGTTTTTTCTAGAAATTGATGTGCTCCGCTTCATTTCGCTGCGAAGCTGCGAATGGCACGGGACTCCCTGGGCGGCGGCTAAGCCCTGGGCTCAGCTCCGAACAAAATGGAAGGATCGGGCGGATTTCAACAGCCCAAATGAGCGAAAGACGCCCGGAGCCCTGCGCGTCCATGCAACGGCTTTGGCCGGCTCGCAAAACTCGAGCCTGGCGCACGCGGAAAGTCGAGCCCCGAAGACTTGGTTTCAGGAGTGGAGGCCGCTTGGTGGTTTTCGGCCGGCTTCTCCGTGTAAAAAAATACGCAGTCATTTACCAAGACTGAATGATTTTTGTTGGCATGATGGAGTCTCCAGGTACCTAACAGGCACTAAAAGTTGTGCAGCAGAATCGGCAAGTCAGGGTCCCATCGAAGCACGGAACGTTGCAGGCTGTCACCAGGCATGCACTGCGTTTTTTTTGTTTTGTTTTTTTTTTTCTGTGCTCTTCATCAGAGAAAGAGGCCCTAAACCCGTGGGGACTCAACCCCTTCTTTAGACATGTTCTTGTAAACATCCCTTGTTTCAACCACGTCTCTTTGGTCTCCCGTTCAAACTGCAACCAATCTTGCTACTGCCCACATGAGTCACAATCAAAACCCGGTATTAAAATCCCAGAACCATGCTTCAAGAATTAACAAAACCGAAAATATCCGCAACTATTTCTGGCAAGGGGACTGCACCTGAGTAACCTAACCATCTACCCGAATCGGTTTTGAGGATGTGGCTCACACGGAAGAGGCGAAAATCCCCAAACCAGCCGCTGCAACTCGCCTGGCATCACGCTTCCACGAGGGCCTCGGAGTTTTTTGACGACGGGGAACCGGCTCCCCGCGAAGGGAGAGAACACCGTGCCAGCAAGTTGAGCATCAGCCCAACTGCTCGAACAGGAGATATCTGTTGGGTCTTGCTTGTTTTCTGGAAAGTATCCCTCATGGGTTTGAAACCCTTAGTTGAGAACACCGCCAACCAAAATCAGTTGGACACTTGGGCTGGAGCTCGCGGTGTGACTTCTGGGGTGTAAGCCCACCTTGCCCAGACCTTTTTGTCTCAAAGTGGGCCTCCCCAACGAAGGCTTCCGTTGAGCCAACGTCCAACTCCGACACTCCGAGTCCCAAAAGCTTTGGGCACCCAAAACCAAAATGGACACCGGAAGGCCAACGTGCCATGGACACGCTTTAAAGCCTAAAACACCAATGCCCTGGAAGGAGGTTGCAAAATAGACACCATAGCCCTGGCTTTGTCTCTCTCTGCCTCTTTTCTCCTAGAGCCCTCTTTGCCCCAAAGTCTTAGCAAGGCGCGGAGAAATCCAAGTACTTCTCCTCGATCTGCTCGTTCACCTTCTTCACCCCATCTTTGATCTGCACGAGACATCCGTGCCCAGAATGGGTTTGTATGTTTTGAGGGTACCCTTTGCAGGTTGGCTTACCGTCCCACCAATTGACATGGAACCTGATGGTCGGGGGGCCCCGAACGTCAGGTTCCATGTCAATTGGTGGGAGGGTGAGGGGAACCAAAAACAAAACTACCATTTTGGAGGTCTCCATCTATCTTCACGCCTATCGGAAAAGCTTTCGCCCCCAGCCAAAAGCGGGATATGTTTTTGAGTCTGCTGCATGCTGAACCTTAAAACGTAAAATCAGAACGGGGGGGTTGTCTCAGAATGGACCCAAATTGGAGCCGCCCAGGTCAGATTTCAGCTGTAATCCCAAAGCCTGCGCGGATGGAGCAAAGCTTTGCCCTAGTGAACAGACCTCATTTTTGTTCCTTGAGGTGTCCACGCCGAAAGGGATACCCGAGCAAAGCTCGGGACGGCAACGCAAAGAACCCACAGCAAAGGCTCAGTCACCTGCTGGCACAAGACTCGGCTAGCCAAAAGTGCAAGTCAAATATGGGGGTGCCTCAAAATTCAAACCGGGGCTACTCAGGTTTGACACCTGTCCATTTGCCGAGGTTCCATTTTGGTCCCCACTTTTCGAGCCTTGCCTGCTCCGCCCCTGTCGTCCTCACCCAGCATTCCACTCAAAAAGTGAAAGGTTGTTGTCTTAGACCCCGTGGGATCACCAGTGACATCAGGCAAATTCAAGGTTGGCTTGCTCCTATGCTAGAAACTGGCAACCTTTGCCAAAACAGTTCCAAGCCTGGGGGTTCAAATCGATGTCCAATCATGCCCTGATCGGGATCCACTAGCGACCCCTTTGGTGAGCTCCAGAATACAAACTCAGAGCCATGTCTAACAATAACTGCGCGTTCCTTTTGCCGGACCTCCGACCCAGATCTGTTCAACGATTCTCGCAACCTCAGGCAGCGGCCACTTGACCGATCACAAACTTCGCGGTCTGCGAAGCATGAACCGACCGCATGTGGCTGGCTCGCGGCTTTTTAGGAGGAGAAAACCCCCCAATCGCGCAAAGGTGGTCCTTTCGGTGTCCCTGTTAAAACCACGCGCAAAAAGGGTACCTCCAAAAAAAAGACGAGCCACCCAGATGAAATCCCAAGCGAACAAACGAAGGAAGGCATCATACCCCGAGTTTGAAGGCAGCCGGAATGGTTGGTTTGTGACGCTTAGTGGACCTTCACAAGGGTGGAAGAAGATTGCGAGTAGAGGAGGGGATGACGACACGGCCATGGGTCATAACCTATGCCTCCATTTTGGGGCGGATGCACACCCATGTACCACCTATTTTGATGTTCACCAGGGGTACAGGGTTTTGACCCACAGCCACACCTGAGTCTGCTTCCCGACTCTGAGCGATCCTGTTCGGGCATTACACCTTTTTTGAGCTGCTTCACAGGGGAGCGACAGGAAACCGACCGAACATGGGGCGAGACAAGCCTCACGGACTGGGCCAAAGGCCAAGGTGGTTCTAGCTTCACGACTCTTGGCATGGTAGCGAAAACTTGTTTGTTTGCCGCCCCCTACTAAGTACTAAAAATGAACGGAGCCAAGCAAACAAAACACCAACAGACTTGCCAAGAACAGTAAAGCTGGGCACTTTGAACAATCCAGGTGGGATCGACCAGCCCCCAACAACGACTGCTTGTTGGACAGGTTGCGGGGTTCGCTTTGGGCACGGGAAAAAGCAGAAAAAATCAGCGGCTCGCTGCTCGCGAGAGCGGCAGGTGGCCTGTTCGACCACCTTGTCCGGCAGAGGAAACCACCACGGCAATCCCATCTTGGACTTTGACCTTGGTTTCCAGGAGTCCAAAACAAGATCCGACAAGCCAGCAAGCCAGCCAACTGGCCAGCAGGGAAGGAGGGAAGGAAGGAAGGACGGAAGGAAGGAAGCAAGCAAGCAAGGAAGGAAGCAAGCAAGCAAGGAAGCAAGCAAGCAAGCAAGCAAGCAAGCAAGCAAGCAAAAAGCCAGCCGGCCAGCCAGCCAGCCAGCGACAGCCAGCCAGCCAGCCAGCCAGCCAGCCAGCCAGCCAGCAAGCAAGCAAGCAAGCAAGCAAGCAAGGAAGGAAGGAAGGAAGGAAGGAAGCACGCGGCACCCATCATATGTCTTTAGTCAGTGTTGCAATAGCTGGTTGCTTTGCCTCAAGGACCTCACCCCAAAAAGGAAGTTCCCCAGGTGACTATTTCGCCGCTCGCAAGGCTACCCGGCCAGCTGCGATTCACCACTTCCAGCCCTGCGCACTTGGCAGTCGCTCCGAAAAAACATCCTCGCAGGTGGGGTGCTCGGCCATTGGTACGAATCAGGAATCCCGAATTGTCCCTTGATGGCCAAGCAGGAAAAAAAAAGAAAAAAAACGGCCCCTTCCGAGAGGTGTCCAGCTTTTCACGCTTTCATGAGCGGTGTCCATTCAGGGTGGTGGAAAACGGGATTTCGAGGGAAGCGAAGGATTTGACCCCAAACGTCACGAGCGACCATCTTCCCCAGTCCCAACGGCCTCCCCTGCCGTTGTCCGTCCAGGTGACCACGTTCTCAGCCTTCTGCTGCACCTATGGCTGTGTCTTTTTGGTCGAGGGGACACACACCCCAGACAAAAATACCAAAAAAACATGTTGGCTTCCTCTTGGTGTCCCTTTAAACCCACCCCCCAAAACATGGGCCCTCAAAAACAAGAGCCACCCATCGATGGATGGTTGACTCAGGGTCATCGCAAGCGGAGCCATTGCAGCCCAATAGTCGTCATTGAGGACCATTGAGGATGGCTCTGAATCAGCCCCAACCGGGAGTCCGGCAGTCGCGCCCTTTGACGTGGAAAGTCGGTGATTGGTGGGGTCCCCGGGCTCCAATTTTGACGAGTAGCTCCTCCCCCCTTTCCGTAGCTGACTTGATCGCCGCGGATCCAAACATGCAAATGATCCAATGGGCTGCCGAGGAGGGGGGGGGAGTCTGAAAGCAGCGTTCCTGGCAACCCAAGCGCGAGAACATAGGTTTTCCGCCCACACATTTCAATCATTTCGAGGGACACTCGTGGTGAACCCTTCCTTCCCGAACGAGGAACGAGGCTGCCAGGCTACCACCCAACGCTTTCAACGCCGCGCCTTGTGCTCCGGATCGAAAGTGACCTCCCCGGTCTTCTTGTCCACTTGTCCTGACCAATCCGCCGGCCCTTCGGGGTCCCACTTCGGTTGCTGGATGGGAGGGATAACTTGTTGGAAACCCTCCCTGCCTTATAGAGATTCCTCCATCGTATATAGATGGTGCAGGATTTGTCCATTCACAGTAGTAAGGGTTTACAGGTTACAGAAGCTTCGATGGGCCTTTTAACTGGTCAGGAACTTCGCCAACTCCCAGACAACCCTAGATGGGACCAAAAGGGCATTGGGCGCAGAACTTCTTTGGCAGACAAGCCCCAAGAAAACAAAAGCTTGAAGGCCCACAGGCACATGCTTTTGCTTGCTTTGCTGCTTTGCTGGTACGAAGCGACCCGCCGAGAAATCCTGCGAAGAAACCTCGAGAAAGCCCTGTCAATTTGTGATCCCCGTCTTTGCTGACCTGGTGGCCGTTGAAAAACACACAGAGTCGTCAAAGGTCGAAGTGGATAACCCGCTGCAACCCACGAAAAGAACAGGATCTGGGCAAATTGCTGTGTAGGCATGAGCTCGCTGCAATTTGTGAGCAACTGCCCCGAAAATACAAGGTCCAGTGAGCGATTATATCCCAGTGCTTCTTTCCTGTCCAGACAAAACAACCAACCATGCCAGTACCACTCGTGTCTTTCTGTTTGAAGGATACCTTTTTTACAATTTCAAAGGCAAACCACAAGGTAAACCACCTTTTTTGGGGGGGAGGGGGTCCAACATCAAAAAGAGGACTATGACCATGGCAATAAGAAGCTACTTAAAGTGGGATGAACATTCCAGTCAGAGGGTAACCTGACCATTCCCCAGCTGGAGTCTTCAGCTAAATCAAACCTGGCACAGGGGTCCATTCAAAACCATGTAGACAAAGGGAACTTGCCGCACCTATTTCTGGGTGGGACTGCTTACTAAACGTTCATCCAGTATAAAGGTGCCAAACAACTACAATAAGTAAAATAGGCATGATTCCCAATAGAATAACTTGTCCAAGCTTGGCCACTCATACCTCCCAGGAGCTGATTGCGTCTTACCCGAAAAAACAGCTAAAACGGGAAAAAAAAGAAAACAAAACCCAAAAAAAAACCGGAAAACCTGAACCCGCCCGCCAAAGGTCCCGCGTGCATGTCCAGGATGTGGAGGACGCAGCTTCCGGGCAACACCTCCACCTTCACCTGCCAGAAGCAGAGAAAGAGCGGAAGAAAGAAAAATCAATGATACAGTTATTTTCCTATAGAGAAACAGAAAAAGAGAGCAAAAAGAAGAAATAAACAAAAAACAGAAAAGAAAGAAAGAAAGAAAAAAGAAAAAAAGAAAGAAAGAAAGAAAAAAAGAAAGAAAGAAAGAAGAAACAATGAAAAACAGAAATAAAGAAATAAAGAAATAAATGAAGACATAAACAAAGAAATAAATGAGGAAAGAAGGAAGGAAAGAAAAAAGATAGAAAGGAAAATAAGGAAAAGCAAAGAAAGCAAAGAAGGAAAAGAAAGAAACAAAAAAACAGAAATAAGGAAAAGACAGAAAGAAAAAGAAAGAAAGAAGGAAGACGAAAGGAAGGAAGGAAGGAAGGAAGAAAGGAAGGAAGGAAGAAAGAAAGAAAGAAAGACAGACAGAAAGAAAGAAAGAAAGAAAGAAAGACAGAAAGAAAGAAAGAAAGACAAAAAACAGGAAGGAAGGAAGAAAGGAAGGAAGGAAGAAAGGAAGGAAGAAAGGAAGGAAGGAAGAAAGAAAGAAAGAAAGAAGGAAAGAAGGAAAGAAAGCAAGGAAGAACGCAAGGAAACAAATACAGAAAGGAAGGGAAGGAAGAAAGGAGTTCCTTTATTAAGTGAAAAGTAAAAAGCCGAGACGTATTTATTGTTATTTTTGAGTTTCTTACGTATTGATTTATTTATGTTTGCTAATAATACTTTTTGAATAAGAAAACACATAAAAGTGAACTATATTCATTTAAATTTTGTATAAGTAAATAAATAAAAAGTGAAATGATATGTTTGAATAAGATAATAAGTAAAAAGTGAAATTATTTAATTATTTCAATAAATTACTTTTTGGCTTGAAATATTGTTGTTTAATAAGTGTAATAAATTAAGTTTAACGTGATTATAAAAAAAGGGGGGAAAAAGAAAAACATGTAATAAATTAGTGTTTGCCGAAGAAAAAAATATATCATAAAAATATGTGTCCCTTTTTGCGCTGCTCTTTTTTCTTTCTTCTTCCTCCCCCTATCTCTCTCTCTCTCTCTCCAAATGGCCAACAGCAAGTTCCATGTCGCAATGGACGTGGCCCTCGGCCTCCATCTTCATCTGGGTGCGGTATGGTCCCATGTCGGTGGGCCTCGGAAACTAAAAACGAGCTGCTGCATCTGGCACTCGGCTTTTTTCGATCCGAAAGTCTCTGCTTCAAGGTGTCCTTTTGGAAAAATAGATGGGATGCCCTGGCACATGGGGCGTCAAACCCATCTAAACCGACTGAACCACAGGAGCCTAAAAACGACACCTATGCTGCTTCCCGTGCAATTGAACGTTGTAAACTCTGCTTCCCGGTGCTTCGGCGCGCTGCCTATAGGGGCCGGTGGCGGTCAGCCCACCGGACGTCTCTTTTTCAGGGCACCCGTTTTTCTTGGGTGGGTTCGAAAGGGACACCAGCCATTTTGTGGGGGGGTCCCCTAAAAAAGACGAGCCATCCATGTGTTCATGTTGTACTCTTTGAGAAAGACGAGTCAAGTCCCACCAGTGAGTGAAGCTAGCCAGCGTCGCCGGTGGCCCGCTTTTGGGAACAAAACGTCATCCAGAAGGATGCAACCACCACTTTTTGGGGGATGACCCCATGTAATCGCACAATCGGGCCGTCCCGATTTCTTCAACGCCAGAACTCACCCCGAAAAATCCGCCCGGGCCATCTGGATCGGCGGCCAACGTGACCTGGCCCCTTCGCAAAGAGTTCAGTTCTCTCTGCCCATGGCACGATCTGGAGTCTTGACCCTTCCTTCGCGGCATTCAACCTGGCGAAACACAGGGGGTGCTTCTCCCGAGTGAAGCAGCCCTCTGACATGGGACATGTCTGACCCAAAGCCGCTCCACTCCGTTTTTCAGGGCCCCCGGCTGCAGATAGCACACCATGACCTCTGCCGCTCCCTGCTTTTTCTCAATCTTCTCCAGGTTCTGCAGGCAGACCTCTCGCAGCTTCTCCCCCCCCTTTTTCTCCCCCCGGACGGGGACGGCAGGTGGATGGGTTGACAAAACAGGAAGAGATAGCTATGCTGCCAGCTCGGGTTCGGGAACCAGCTCGGTTCTCAAGGTCAGATGGACAAGAAAACTGAAAGAAGCGCCTTCCGGAGCTCACATGGCCATGGGTTTTTCAAAATCCGAAGTTCGGTTAGCCCCCAGTGGTTACATCCGATTCAATCCAACCACTAAAGTAGGTTCTAAAAATGGGTGGTGAATTCACCTACCCGAAAATGGGACCACCACAGCCACATTTATTCAATGAACACGGGAAGCCGTTTCCAGTGGGTTGAGACGGTGCCGGATACCACGAGCCCCAAGAGTTCGACGACACGGACCAAAGGCCCGCCTGGGCCGCGTTCTCGCGCATGAACTTGTCCTGATGGAAGCCGAGCCGTGCCCCATCGAGAGATGCATCGGCGCCCTGTAAATTGACATGTAGCCCAAGAATGGCTTCGGGTAACCCAAGACCATCTGACAAAGGACCTCCAGCCCAACATGGGAAGGGTACTTTGATGCACTTGGGAACATTGAGAAACCCCAAAAAAAAGATACAAAAAGAAAACAAGTCATACTAGTCTGGCTGAAACTTCCCGCTGCTCAGCTCAGGTTGGGACCACTGCTTTCAAGGGTGTGTTGAATGGACATCATTCATTGCGTTCTTGGGTTCATGAGGTCCTGAGAGCAACCTTTTCTATTGACTGCTTCATTTGCAACGGAACACCCCTCCAAACAAAAGCTTCTCTCAAAAATGGTGAGCCAAACATCGGGTAACCCCAAGAAATCGGGTAAACCCCCAACCATATGTCAACAAAATTTGGCCACCCCAAAATTAGGGGGAGTCATACCCTTTAGTTTTTCTCTGGGAAAAAAGGGGAAGAAAATAGAGAAAAAGAAACAAAACGAAAAACAGGACCCGAAAAAAACCAGCGGTCAAGTTTTCCGTGCCGAGGCGCCATGGAGTCCACGTCTCCGTACTGAATCTCCCGCGCCACGGAGATCTCCGACGAAGCAGAAAACGGGCAGCTCACCAGTTGTTTTTTTTGCTTTAAAAAAAGGGGGGAGTCGACCGAAGCAACCAAGCAACCAAGCAACCAAGCAACCAAGCAACCAAGCAACCAAGCAACCAAGCAACCAAGCAACCAAGCAACCAACCAACCAACCAAGCAACCAAGCAACCAAGCAACCAAGCAACCAAGCAACCAAGCAACCAAGCAAGCAAGCAAGCAAGCAAGCAAGCAAGCAAGCAACCAGCCAGAAGTGGGAACCAGACATAAGAACAAACCAGCCCTAGGAAAGAAAGAAACACCTCATCCTCGACGAGGCTGAAAAACAACAAATCACGGCTGGAGCTGCGATCTGTTCTCAAAATGGGCCCCTTTACCAAGCATGTCGGACGAGCGCGAGTTTGAGAAAAGCAAAAATCCCGCGGGCGTGGCCAACTGTTGCTCTGCAAGACAGATACAAGCTCAACAACTACAAAGCTGATTCTGCTATCATAGAATCTCCGACCCAAAACCTCCCCAGGCGTAAGCGCCTGGTTCTCGATCCGGAGTGATCGCCCCTTGCTCCCTTCAGCCTGCGGCGATTGGTTTTGGGGCTTGGGGAGTGAGGCTTGGGTGTTGTCTCGCTGGGTCGTTGTTTCAACCCCTTGTCCTGACCTTTCGGCTTTCTTTCAACAACCAAGCAGGGCACATAGCCTCCAACAACTTACGCCACCCCGAAGATTGACCTCCAAAATGCCCCTCTCTCCAAAATGCCCCTTGTCCTGAGAATTGAATCTTTTCTACCATCATCGCTTCAGTCAAGGGTGTGAAGACGTATGGCAACCTGACGTTGACAGAGAGCACCCAAAATGGGCTGGCTTCCTTTTGGCTTTCTTTCAACAACCAAGCAGGGTATATAGCCAACAACAACTCACGCCACCCCGAAGATTGACCCCTCCCCCGCCCCCCGTGCCGCGCCCTTCGCGCCACCGCGCGAGGCCGCCCTGCAGCACCCGCGCCCACGCCGGCCGCGAAGGCCGCGAAGGTGGCGGGCAAAACGCTTCCGCCGGCGAAGCCGTGCGCTGGCGACCGCGCAGGCGCCGCCTGCGCCAAAACCAAACCATGTGCCGACCAAAACAAAAAACCTCTCCACGCTGGGCTGTCCGTTTTCTGATCCCCTCAAAGTGAATAACGCGTGGGTGAAATTCGGAAACCCAACCACTAAACCAAATAAAAACCCAAGAAGTGAAGGAACTGGGAATCACCAAGCAGATCTTCTGGGTCGGAACCGCCAGGCGGGCATAGGGATGGTGAAACCAGGGGTCATTCCCGAAGCTTGCACCAATTTCGCGCAAAGGCTGCGCGCCTTGGCTTCGCAAATGAGTGCATCCTGGATAAATTGTGACTTGACATGGAGTACTTGTTCTCTGCAGTCAATGTAAAACAAAATTATGAGTGGATTGGTTCCTTCCTCA